TATTTCAGAGTCGTAATCATGAAGTGTCCAACTTAAATAAATATAATCACTGTTTACATATGGCTTACATAAACATGTAGTAGACAACCTTCAGCAAAACGTTTTGATTTCATATCCCGCCAAAAAGGAATCTTGCGAGTGAATCAATCGACCCCTATTGAATGTTATCGATAAACCGTGGAGAGCTTTCTGTTTCTGCGAGGGCTCCTGGTAGGACAAAGACAACTTCAAATCCAAGTATACTATTCTAACACCTTTCTCGGAAGCCTTAACGCGGTATTCGGACGCAGTCCCTTCTCCAGCCGGTAAGACATGGCACTGAGCCTCAATGAAGTTCTCCGGCTTGGCGTGACAAGAACAGAGAAAGAAAAGGAACATAGAGAGAGGGGCGATAAACTCCACGGCCATGTTCTGCTTACAATCACAAGCTAATCCAAGCTATCTGCTTTGTTGTCTGTTGGGGGGCTTCGCTTCATTATTCCTCTACCATATTTTGGGTAAAAAATGAATAATTCATTTTTTATCCAAAATACGGGCCGTATAGAAACTGTAAAGAGAATGGAAATCATAGAAAAAATAATTTTATTGACACAGGATTTAATATGAAAAAACAATATTTCAACTGTATTTCAGAGTCGTAATCATGAAGTGTCCAACTTTCGTAAGTATAATCACTGCTTATGGAAGGACTTACGTAAACATATAGTAGACAACCTTCAACACAACATTTTGACTTCGTATTCTGATTTAATCGACTCCCATTGAATGTTATCGATAAAACGTTGAGAACTTTCTTTCAGTTTCTGCGAGGGCTCAATTTATTATCGTGTTACCAAGAGTTTCCATTTTTCTAATACGAAATTTGATAAGTAAATCCCGCAGCCCTAAATAAATGTAGTTGATAAATTTGACACACCACACTTGGCAATTCCTTTTTCATTTTCGATGCTATTCGCCATCTAAGACACAGCTTTTTTTTAACCCATACATCGTTAGTTGATAACATTACTTTGCTGTCAAAAAAACTTACCTCTTCTTTTTCCTTCCCTGAATTCGAAGTGAATAGCCCAGTTATATTTGGAAACGGATTTGTAGGCGGTTTCGAAATATAAAGATGGTAAGTTTCCAAAGAAACTGTGATGCTGCGTCGGTGGGAGAGTATACAAAGGTATATTAGTATTATCAGCTGAGTTGATAACGAAAATGGCCACCGAAAAGAGTTTAAAAGCTGACGTCACGAGTGTTAGCCCTTCGTCAGAGCGATAGGTTTCAAAATATACTTTGTCAGCGTCTTGATGTATGCTTCGTAAGCGTTTTTAATGCTGGGAAAAAATACGCTGGTGTCTCGAAAACGAAAACAAACGTAACTCAAGATTTACGCCGTGTAAAACTGCTTTTATAAAAGACATCTCAAAAATAATTAATTCGACAAATGAAGATTAAGCGACAATACAAATTAAACACACTTAACATCGACAAATGAGAGCGCGGGCGCAATCTTAAATATTTTATAACAACAGGATGCTATTGTTCTAAGGAAAGTACTTTTCCCTAATTGAAGCCTCTCTGCCGAATTTAAAGCTGAAATCTAAAGATGACGTTAATATCAAGTAGACCAATAAATAGATAAATAAATGAACCGAAGCAGCCGAAGCGAAAAAGAGGGGACACCACAAAGAATTAACCTGTTAAGTATCATAAAGCAACCAATGCTAAGCGCGTATCTTAAATGTATGTCCATGCACGCAAGGCTTTGGTTTTCACTTAGTTGTTTGAATTGAACATAAATGGAATGGCTCGATAAAAAAGGCAATTTTACAATTTAAAAATACTCTATTTTAAAAGAATGGCTTCAGGATGTTTATTCTTAGAGGACCACCCAACAAAAAATATCCTGTTCCTAGTGAGAGAACAACGCGATAGTGGAGGCGGAGCAGAAAAGTGGGGAAAGTTTACGTCGGCGCGTAACGTTGGAACAGCGTTTTTTAGGCAGCTTGATCCACCACTATCACTCTGTTCCGTAACCTGTTTCATTTTAGCGACTGAACGCCTGATCTTTTCTGAATCATTTGCGGTAGCGATTCAGAATCTGAGCGAAGAGTTTTGCCGGTTATGAATGAGATCATGCGTAAACTTCGAAACATGGGTCTTATTTTAGTCTTTTTATTTGTGTCTTGGTGTTCCATAATATTTTTAAGGAAGACATAAATTTCGTCGGTAGTCTCCACAACAGCTCTATTTGTTAGCGGGGTGATAACTAGATTGTTTTTTTAAGGGATTAACTAAAAATAACGATTTAACGGTCTAACCAAGAGACAAAAGTTGACAAAAATTGAAAATGCAGTCAAACATAACATCGAAAGTAAGAAAACGTAGACTAATGGGGAGAAAGTAGTGTTATATAAGGGAAAAACACCCATATGGTGGTTTTCTCTAGTTTCATTACGCCTCTGCCAGACAGTTAAAAGAATTGTTAGAACAATTCGAAAACTACACTATAATCCTTTCTAGAATATGGAATAATCTTGCCCATCTTCAACCATTCTCATGCCCTATTAGTTTAATATACTCCATTCCGTGGTCCTATACCCGATCTATAATGCATCTGATCGTAGTTTATGAGGGTAAGTGAGTGATGGGTTCTTGAATAAACTGATCTACTGTGTATACTAATTTGTAAAAAATTTAAGGCAATATCTCACAAACAATTGATGATTGTTTACTGATTATTATTTAGAGCAAATCAAAGTACTTGTTTTATTACTCCTACCCTCCTTACGGAGTGTAGATAAAAAAATCTCTTTAAATTAAATCCGTTATAATTTAAATTAATATACAGATGTTCCTTTGATTCATGAATTTAAAAGAACCAAAGGCCAAATATGGTAATTGGCTTCACAGCATCGCACTATAGACTCGAGAGAGAATTCAGATGTACTATTCAGGTGTCTGTTACTATCACTATCACTTAAGCTGGTTACCCTAACCCTGGAGGACTCCCATCCCCTGAATAAGACACAAACTTCTTAATGGTAACTTTTCATTTTTAAAAGTGTAAGTGCGAACTATCTGAAGATAGCTCTACGTTAATGCACCGGAAATGAAAAATGAAAGTGCAGTTCACACTGAATTAAGCAAAGCTCGAGTACGGTAAGTGCACTTGAAATCTCGAAACATCTCAAATGATCATGCGTGGCATCATACATTTATATTACATTAACACGCTTCTCCATGATCAATCAAGACTACATCCGCAATGGGCTTCAGCGATTCCTTGTGACTCGGAAGGTTTTCACACACATTAACGTATCAATAGTACCTTTGTGTTATATCCTTCTGTCTATTCATGTGTTCATCGAAAGCCAATCAGAACTATCTAACTTCCTCACTACAAATGAAGTATAGTGATAATTAACCATATATGCTAGCCTTGGAAAACTTCGATTTACCCACTATGACATGTAATTCGCTGAATAAAGGCTGTTCTTTTGGTGGCCTAGACTGTTCAGATATTAATAAGAGTTACACTAAAAAGTACTAATTTGAAGGAAATTTGGACATCTTGAGGTATGTTTTCTCTAAAAAGCACCGTTCGAAATAAAAAACGAATAGATTTACTTTGCGTTTGCTGAATGTTCACTGCACATGTTCACAAGCACGAAGAACTGCAGCTGCGTATTGCCGTCTCTTCTCCTCGGTTCTTTCCACTTCAGGATATCCATAAGCAAGTTTGTCCATATTGATCAGCTCTTTCACCGTCTCCACAGTTGGCTGTGCTCCATCGACAATGCTTTTCACCGTCTCTTTTAAAGCAAACGTCAATTTTCCCTCCAAAGCTTTCTTGATTGGCTGATTATCTACATGAAGGATCTGCAGCTCGCATTGAAGTTGTTTAATAGCTTTCCGAGCCATTTCCTTCGTTCTTTTCATTTCTGCTTCGACAACAACGACGTCCTAAAGAAAAAACATATTCGTCATGTGCTGTGTGCCAAAAAACTTGGGATTTTTTCCACCCTAATTGCTGCAAACATCTTTTGACTTCTGCGTCCTTTTTAAATTCGAGGAAATTTAATATCCTACTCAAAAATGCCAAAAACCAGATACTTCTGTAACTTAAATTTGCATTAAATCTTCAAAACGAGTATTTTCCTTTTTGCATGGTAGTGTTTTTTACATAATTCTTTCACCGAAATAGCTGAATTATTTCCTTAACCCTATATTTTTTTCAAGCGTCTTCTCCATTCTCTGATATACATCAAGTTTCATTTCCGCTATTTTAAGATGTTAACAGGCAAATCTTTGTATGCCTTGCAAGGCCATACAAACTCGAGCCAATCTAAAAGCTTTTTACAACTATCCATACTTTTTAGTTAAATCGCATAGTCGAAATTCTTAATTTTCGAGTTTTCAATCTACGTCAGCTATTTAAATGAGGCATATTACCTTCCAGACATTTACCTTCAAGTCACTGAAGTGAAATTGAGAGACGTTCTCAATTGTTAAGGTTAGAAACCCTTGTAGGCCCTGTACGGACGGCCACAGCGCCGCAGTTATCGGTAAGTAATCAAAATAATCTTCTTCTAGGGGAACAAGACTGGCATGTAACTCCCACTTCCAGGGAAAAGGATGACTTGTTGCTGAAAAATTAGTTGATAAATAAGCTGACATATCAGAAAAAAAGGCACGGAGTCCCTCTATCAATGAGACATAAATGTAGAATGGAGAAGGTAGCTGGGGCAGAGGCGAACTGTCTATCACAATCGCCTCCTTCTGCCTCGCAATAGACAGCGCATGACACAACAAACTCGATACAATCCCTATTTTCGCCCCGTTTTCATGATGGCACCTACTTTATGAAATACTTTCCCGAAGAAATGTACCGGTTTTATGTTTCAAAGCTGCCTTAAAAGCACTTTATTTCGGAAGTGTTTCCTTTAATCCATGAGAATTTTTTAAAGGTTTTTACCTCTTCTTCTACAAACACAACAGTACGTCGGGGTTTACTTACATGGTTCCACATATTTATTCATCTTAATCCAGTCGAACCCTGGGCTTTCGTTGGACAATACAATTCTTGGTACCAGCCTCTTCTCTAGCAACATCTTGTAAAACGCAGCCCAAAGTTCGTCGGTGACGTAATCATGTCCATTTGTATGCAATCCGTACACGTACAAACCAGCTTCAAAGAGTTTCACCTCGACATTCTCGATTTCCTCTCTGCGACCCTTTTCCTCCTTATACACAGTCAAGATCCTGTTGTCTACCGACAGAGCACAAATGACAGGTTTCTCGGAGTGGAAGCCGTTGGGAGCGTAACAACCTTGAAATTGGAAAGGTAGAAAAGGTAACATTACCCCTAAAAAGCCCCGATTTCATTATCCCCTCCCCCTGTTAAATGGTTAGTGTATCAAGGTAACCCCCTGTTGAAAGTGATTAAAAAATCATATCCATTATAATCTGGAAATGTGCTTTTTTCGCTTTTCACATCTTCGTTGATCTATTAAACCGGGTTTCTTGGGGATTTCGGATTTAGAACTGTCAGTTTTTTCTACTCTAAATGAACTTCACTCGAGATTTTATTGTCCTAGTTTAGCAAATAATCAAATAAAAGAACTTCTCTTTTCTACACAAAAGTTCTTACAAAAACAACTTGAAGCAAGACCCTGGAGCCTCATTAATATTTCTAATGCTTCATAGCTATCTTTAAAATACCTGGAATTTTCTCCGAACAAAGCTTCACTTGTTCCAAGAATCGATTTTGCCATACTGCAACAAACCTCCTTTCTTCCGATACTTCGGGAGTCTGGTTAAAAGTATTGACAAACCTTTGCGCATCAGTACAAGGTAGGCATTAAGAAAGCTAATTTTAAGCTGCAAAAAAATAAACCTGTACGACTCTTACAATGGTTGCTCACCCTATTGCTGGAACTCTTGAAACGTTTTCCAATCCGCTTGCGGTGTTGTAGTTCCAAGCGCATCAGTCTCTCTACTCGCCTGTCTAAGTCATCTAATTGAAATTGTTGAGAATTAATTTGTTTAACTTTTTCCTTTACAGCAGCAGCCTGTTCCTCCATCTCTTTCAAAGAATCTTGGAAACCAAAAAGATCTTTCGTACAAACTTCTTTCCCGTTCACCTCAACGGCAGGAACAAGATACATAGAGAGGATGTCCTTCCATTCATACCAAAGACGTCTAAGAACTTCTGTTAATTTCTTGGTATGTAATCTTTCACTCGGTGACTCACGCCTACTGAGGTAACAAGGCAGTTCAACTGCAGGTGAGGACCATAGATCTAGCTCAGCTTTCCTCTCTTGGTTGTATCCAGCAGCTTGAAACTGAGCCATGAGAGACTGATTATTTGGAAGGGATAAAATGCGTTCTTGAATTTTACTGTGTACGTGCTCCAGAAAAAAAGAATTGCTGTCTGAAGGGGGGTCTGAGAACAGTGTCTCTACAATTTCCAGAGTGTGAAAGGCAAGGACTGGTTTAGTGATGATACCAGACAGCCATCGCCGCAACAAAACTAACGTTGGTTCATAAATGTCTTTATGACTTAGGACGAAAGGAAGGTTTTCATGGAGGTACGATGCCTGCCTCGAAACACATTTTACCACTTTGAGTTCTCCTTCGCCTCTTTGGGGCGTCAAGGCACTATCTTGAATAATTTCTTTTCCATCTTCCCCGCTGCGTCGCTTTCCAAAGATTTCTGTAAAGAGGGACTTCAGCTTCAGGCCATGAATTTTGTAGAGATCGTTTCTTTTTGTACCTCTATCCTCGTGGCTCCTGCAAAGCTCCCTACAGGCGTCCAAAACTATATCTCTGACGACAGCATCTTTAGAGTTTTCTTCGGGCTTTCGACCTCTCAGTATGTTTATGAACTCGCCAAGCAATCGAGCCAATCGAACGCATTCTTTGATCTTCCCTTGTTTGATACCCTCTCCGTTTTTTACTTCAAAGCCTTCTTGTGGAAAGATGATTTGGGCAATGACTTGTGACGCAGATGCAACGAGCTGCAAGGAGCGAGAACTGAGGTCAACAATCGCATCGACATCGCGTGATGTCAAATCTTCCAACGGCGTCATCAAGAATGCTATACACCAATCGTTTATCACCCGCGCTGGGAAGCCGTCAGATATCATAGCCTGTCTCCATTTGGGTAAGCGGTTAAAGCCGTAGCAATCTTCCGGGTCGTATAGCAGAATCAACTCCTTGAGCCTAATTACAAGATCCTCACAGGAATTCATGCAAACGTGACCATATGATGTCAATAGCTGCCAAACAAAGTCACATTGCGCAGGGCTTAAGGTAGATATTTCTTCTCCTTGACAAAGTGATTTAATGCTTTCCACAAGTTCAATCGACTGCTGCTTGCATGACCACATAGAGACGATTTTCCCTATTGAAACTGCAGCTTGCTCATTGTTTTCGTAAAGGCTTAGCACACATCTGGTTACTTCAAAAGGCAATCTTCTCTCAAGAATAATACTCAATTCTTTCAACTGTGGCTCAAGAGGTCGAAAACACGAAGCTGAAAACAATCTGAATAAAGAAACAGAAGCTGTTGTAGGCGTGTTGTTTCTTTTGCTTTCCAAAGTTGTGCTAACTACAATTTGCAACTCGAAGAGGGCGGTCTCGTCGATATCATCTCCGCTGCAAGTCCATTTGCACGCTTTCAAAATGACCTCAGCGCATTGAATTGCATGGTGCTGATTCAGTCTTGCCCAGTGCAGAACCATTTCTATAGATGATGCCTCTGCGAGGATTGACAGAATAACACCTACGTAATCATCGATAAAAGATGAACTAGATGCACATCCCTCGTCTCGACAATGTGAGCTCGGTTGATTAAAAACAAGCTTCCAAATGGCAAGAGCTTTTTCTGACAGATTTTTTTTTTGTCCCAGTAACCGTTTCAGGTGAAAAATAATTTTGATGGCTATCAAAACTGGTGTGAAAATGGGATGTTTTTGCTCTGTGGTTGGACAACCATTTCCTAGTGTGGGCACGGCAACATTCAGCGTTGTTCTCATGTCCTTTCCATGCAAGTCTGATGTTTCCTCATTCTCTCCGGATACAAACTTGAAGAATCCATCTTCAATACGCATATCAGAAAATGAAAAGCATCTGAGAGGACAAGATAACTTTTGTAAGGCTGTGCAGCTTAGTTCAAAGGCAAAAGCTGCCTCCTCATCAGAGACTGAGGGATGGAAAACGAGCCACTCCAGCTCGCAACATGCGATCCGTCTTGTCATGTGATCCACCTGCGTTTTAAAATGCAGAGGGTGGCTCTTTGCCAATATCTCCAAGCCACTGTTTTCTCTGAGGATCATTTCCACACGATCCATTAATTGGTAACTCTTTGCTGGGGTACTGGCAGTGTTGTACGCTTTCCAAAGGAGTCGTGGAACCTCCAGGTAAGAAAGAACAAGATGGTCGAGCGTCAGTTTCCATCTCTTCCCAACTTCAATTAGAAATTGTTTCCTCTCATCTTTGGGCACGTGATTCTCGAGCAGATGGTGAAAGTTGAGCATCGTAAGAGGAATCATTTTGGAGGGAATACTGCGCAGGACTTCCACCAACTCTTCAAGAGATCTCAAAACATCTTCCAATGACTTAGATTTCCGAGAGACCAAGTTAACAAAAGACACTAACCGTTGAAAAAATGCTTGATCTAAATCTTCCTGCGAGCAAATGACCATAAAGATGCTCTTTAAATTTATTTCTGATGGCTCCAACATCTTTGTGGAAAGAACCCAGCAGAGCGATCCACTTTTTCCGTCAGATGGAATTCTAGACAGTTGATTTAGCACCTTGGAATCATTCAACAAGGAAACAATGCAACGAACATCCAAGTGTATGGCTCCATTGCTCGAAGTATTGTTTTGCCACCCAGGAAAAGGCAGCAAATTGTATAACGCACCTTCTATGTTTGTTGCTGATAAGGTTTCTGGGTTTCTCAGAGCAATTTCACTCATTTTCTTCACCAAAATTGTTTTCTCACAGGGTGAGAGTATTTCTGCAGCCAAGACAGTCCTGACGATTTCAGAATAACTTTCTAGAAGATCTAATTCTCCTACAGAATTATCTTGCGAGATTCTTTGATCTTCTGCTCTGCCTTTTGGCAGATGGGCAAGTCTGACAGCTGTTGACCTGATAATAGATAGAAGTTTCAAAATTTCGAATGGAAAATCAAATCCCCAAGCATCAAGAAGGACATATCGGCAACACTGGAAGTCAATCTCATTTGCGTAAACGCCACCAATGAGCAATGCAGCAGCCACAAAGGTCCACACCTTTAGAACTTCGGTATTTGGAAAACGTCCGAGAACACTACGTTTCAACTGCTCACATAAATCTTGCCTTTCTTCCAGAGTTTCTACAACAATAGGAAAGAGGACATCAAAGTACTCATTTGTTCTCTCGATGGGGGTAAATTGCTTGTTCTCAATTATGTTCAAAATGCATGTCCCACTGACGAAGCCTGTTCCAGACTTCTTTAACAGTTGCATCACTTTCATCTTCCTTGCACCAGACAGCGAGATTCGAGCGAGAGAAGAAAACTGTGCCAAGATGTGAGGAGGTATTTTTATTGCCCTCTGCCCGTCGACATAACGCTTGATGAAATCGGTAAATTGAAATAGGATCTCGTCCATGGATTCACGACATCGACTTGATGTGAGTTTTTCCACGAATTTGATGAGACTCTTTCTTTCCGAATCAGTCACGCAAGAGGCTAAGTTCGTTAACTCATTACAAACACGTTTTTTGGTTCTGAATGGCAAACAAGAGCACAAGCTTAATGTCTTGATAACTGCAATGTCAAAATCCATGTGAAAGCCCACTGGTTTGTCTCTGGAACACATGAGAAGCCAAATCATGTCTGTTTTCACTTCCTCTGCGCCCTTCTGCTGTGAAAGCCATTCTAATGACTTTAGGGTGGGGAGGATGTGAAAATGTCTAGCTGGAACTTGCGCTGCTAGCCGTGCTGCTTTGTGGATGAACACCAATACCTCAGGGCGCCTTTCAAACGTAGAGGGGAAAAGTTTAATGAACCAGATGAGGATCTCTTGCCAAAAGGATATCAAAGTAAGCAAAGGACAAGGAAGCCATTCTAGCAAGTCTAATATTCTCCCTGCTGACTCGCTGTTCGACTCTACCACAAATAATGCCAATAGACAGGCGAGAGTATTATAGCTGGGAATGCCAGAGAAGGTTTCCTTCCACAAATTCAGAACCCTTTTAACAAGCTCACCGTTTGGAAATAGTGACAAGACTTTAAAGATAAGATCAAACGATGCTGCCTTCTGCGAAAAATCCCCTCCAGCTATGCGAAAGAAGTTACGAAAGACCTCTCTTAGAACATCATTTTTGACGCTCCTCGCCGCCAGCAACTTTAGTGATGTCGCCGTCATGTTAGGAAAGGAGCGAAAGTGGTTCAAATAGTCAAAGAAAATGTCCAACCTTTCCTTATCGTGTGGGATATTTACCTCAGTCCCGTTTCTTAGCATCTCCTCTAAAACATTTAGACAAAGTAAAAATGTAGACCCATATCTAAAACTCATTGCTTTAGACAAGGCACCACTTAAACCCTCTGTACAATGAGGATCGCCGGCTTTAACCAAAGAGAGTGCAAAGCCACAAGGCACATTCGGAAACTCTAGCAGTTTCATCCAGTTGGATAACAACGCTGGGGATACCACATGTTCACTAAGTAAAATCATTTTTCCAATGACATGTTGTTGAACGTTTTTAATTTTTGCGTCTACAGAGGCTAACCTTATCGTTTGGTCAAGGATTTCTACAAAGGATTCATCATTTCGCCGCGATTCAAATATCTTGAGGAGTTTTGCACACAAGTAATTGGTTCCATAGATTTGAAGATTAAAGTTAGTCTCTTCCTTGACCTCTCCTAATGCCACAAACTTCCCATCCTGAGAAATCTGAATAAGTGTCAGAAGGCTTTTAAGAATTTCAGTTGGCAAGTATGCCTTTAGATCCGTAGGAAAACAGAATTTCAAAGCTTTCATGTAGTAGTCAAAGGAAAGTCGCTGTGACACGTTACTCGTGTAGCAAAAGGATAAACAGATTTCAACAAGCTTTTTAACCTCCTCCAGAAAGGCGGAAGGTTCAACCGAAGAATTTTTAAAAGGAACAACCACTACATTAAAAATTTGAATGATGTGGTAGCCAAGTAGTCTCTGAACATGTTCAAGGAAGCTTGTCTGTTGGATTTCGTCTTTGAAGAAAAGTGTTGCCAATTCTGTTAGGACAGTTTCTAACTCTATCTTACATTGCTTCGAGAGGCTCAAATTCTGCTCAACAACCTTCTTAATCCTCTCTTGTACACTCTGGGACAGTCCTGATGAGTGAAGGTCATTATGTTCAGTCATCATCCAAGCAGATGGGAACCGATTATTTCGATCGGTTGGCTATGAATCTGGGACGTGTGTTCAGAACTCTGTCAACAAAAGATTTCTTGAACGTCGCATGGCAAAGTCTATGCCTAAGTAAAGATATATAATGAGGATTCCAAGTCAGTAAATCTTCACTGCGTGCGCAAGACTCAATAATCCCAGTTGATGTAGGTGCCTAAGCTCTAAATTTTAGTTTTTCGTCCTGAATGTTGTTACAACAGTCTATAGTGAAACCATAACCGTTCAGTGGGGACGGAAAAACTAAGAAAAAACATGTAAAGCATAACTAAACCTGATTGAAAATTGTTTGATGAGTCGTAGAAAGTGAGTTCCTGTTAATTGAGGTTACTATCGCTCTCACAATGGTTTCACTGATACCCAAACAGCGATACTACTTAATGAAAAAGCTCCAAAAAATACTCAAGTGAAATCACACATAAGTCAAATCCCCAAATTTGAATCTGGATCCAAGTCGAAGGAGAGCGAGGAAAAACAGAATCAGTTTAAGGGCTCATATGTGGTCTAGTGGTGCTCTGTTTTTCAGATTTCTTTAAAAAAATTTACTTTTAAATCTTAAGTCAAATCCCCCAAATTTGAATCTATAAGGAGGAGCGCGAGGAAAACTAATCAGTTTAAGAGCTCATATGTAGGCATAAGGGTGGTAGGGTCGAGTTGGAATTAAGCTTGTTAATAGTGCCGAGGCAGAAAGCCAGAGAGCCCTGTTAATGTATGCATGTTGTTGCACATGTTCAAGGAAGGAACATGTGTAGGCATACAAATATGAGGTATCTACTATAAGTGAGTTTTAATTTCAAAGACCGCATATCACTGACAATGATTACAAAAAAGAAAGGAAAAAAAACCGATGCTAAACCAGTCCTAATTTGATAGCCCCTTGAATCGAAGATGGATTTTTTTCCTAAGAGTCTTGAGCCCAAATTCTCATGCGTACCAGTCAACATTTCTTAATTGCGTGGTGTTCGATTCAAATTGTACCTTCAATGGCTACTTTGGTTGACAACCGGAACGTTAGTTGGAAAGCTGCAGGTTTAATCAACTTTTAGTTTCACTATCATTTTTAGTTCCTAAAAGCTTGTAAATAAATAATTTATGCGTTCAACATTTTAGGGGAAAACCCCTTTTCTCCACGCGCCCGACTTCCTTTCCCGATGAAAGGTTCTGTTTGTGGGTTATGAAAGGAACAGAAAAATGTGACATCGTTTAGATGCTCTCAGGCAGAGCGAGAAAGGCCGCATGATGAATGACTTCGCAACAGTGATTGATTTTCTTTTGACCCCTAAGTGAACACGCTAAGTAAACACGCTATGTGAACACGCTGATTTTTACAGGAAGAACGAACAACTCATTCAGAATCAAAACCCTACCTTTCTTCTCAGTGAAATCCATTTCCTGTATACGTTAAGAGGGTAATGTACTTCAATATTCCCTGAAAAGTTCATGTATAAACGTGAACATTTGTAAACGAGCGTAAATTTCTCCTGTGCAATACCTTTTGCATGACCTCCAGCAAATGGATATGAAAAGAAGGGAAAGAATCCAAACACAAAACTAAAATTTTATTTTACTTACCTCATGATCTCACCTCTTTAAAACCGACAACGCTGCGTAAATTTGCTTAGTAATCACCTTTAATTCCGGGAATTTCCCGTTAGAAAGATTTCTTAGAAAGAAACAAACGAAAACGAGGCTAGATGTAATGCCGCTGACACGCTGATGATGCTTCGAATGCTGGTGATGCTTCGAATAATAATATTCTGGACAGGAAACCGAATACAAAATCTGCTCTCGTTAGAGGACTTTTACAGTGTTTAAAATGTCGACAGTGCTACAGGTGCTTTTTGTGAAATCCTCGTTGATCTGGTTCATAAAAATACTGCCATTGAAAAAACCGCCACGCAATATACATTGTAACCAGACTTCAATAGAATTGGGTCTTTACGGAGGAATGGCTCTTACGACTAACGGTTAAAATTTTGGCCAATTTCTCGCGGCTAACGGTTAACCCAAAACGACACAAAATGACACATTGTAGAAAGGAATATGTTTTATGGTTAACATCTTTTATGACTGGCGGTTCAGTAAAATTTGTCAGTTTTTACGCCTCACGGCTAAGATAACATGATCTCTTGCAACGGCTAAATGTTTTATGTTTGTTTTTTTATGTTTTTATTTGTGGCCCACGGTTAACTCCCATCAAGACCCTCATGGGGCCAAACTCGACATTCCACTTAAGCAACGATAGCCGCGATATTCTTCGAGTTTCTATCGTAAATTTCAGCCCAATAAATTTTAATGTGGTCATTATAAGAGAGACTAAGGGGCTGGGGCGGTGGATTAATTCTCACTGTAACACTGTTCTCCCAGAAACGATTTTAAAACCACATCTGAGTTTTACCCTTGAATAACCTTGGGGTTTCGATGACAACTTATCAGGGTTATCAAAATGTGTCTTTCTACTGATCTGTCAGAGGACAAAATCCCTAAGAAGAACATGAGGATTTGTTGGGTTGATGAGACACTCAAAGCAATGTACACGAGTACCTTTTAATTTTCTCAGATTTTCCCAATTTGCTGTGACATCGTTTCCGGGAAATAACAAAGAGCTGTCTTGGAAAATATATTGTAACGAAATCATAAGAAAATAAGAGGGAAGCACCTTAACGTAGTAAGGTTCTTAACAAAAAAAAACGGAAAGTAGTGTTTACACCTCACCAACGAGTTTTAGCGTGAACTTCTAAGTTAATCTGGTACAGATGAATGAAGGGCTAACGCTCGAAACGTCAGTTTTTTTTCCTCTAATATTCCATTCTAATCGGCAAATTGACATGTACAGTTGTGTTTACGATGCATCTTGCCTGCCGAAACTCCTCCAAACATTCTTGGATCTCCACCAGCCTCAGTAACAGCCGCTCTTCCGGCTTCTCGAAGACGTTTGAACCTCGAACTTTGGGCGCCTTAATGTGATACAAAAAACTACAGTTACAAATAAAACTACAATTACAAGTTTGCGCTTCTCAAAGCACCTTGAAACGACAAAATTTTCATGGGGTACGTAAGTTCGTGAAAAACGATATAACTGGTAATTTCGATATCTGAGAATCCAAAAACATCACCCATCTTGGTTTACACCTGGTAAATTCGATTGGTACACTTTGGAAGGAGTTTTATTCAAAAAAGGTTCCCTATTTCGAAAAAGACGCTTAGCCGCAAGTTATTGTACTGTGGTCGAAGTAAATGTCATTCGCGCATGCTCACATGCACAAAGTACTGCAGCTGCGTACTGTTGTTGACTCTCGTCACTTCTTTTTACTTGGGAGAGTCCAAACGCAAGTTTGTCCATGTTGATGAGTTCATTCACCGTCTCCAGCGTAGGCTGTACACCATCGACAATGCCTTTCACTGTCTCCTTGACTGACGACGCTAGTTTTTTAACCAAGGTTTTTTTGATTGCCTCGTTGTCTCCATGCAGAAGCTTCAGTTCGAGTTGAAGTTGTTTAATAGCTATGCCAGCCAATTGTTTAGTTCTTTTTTCTTTCTCCTCGACAATGCTGGCGTCCTTAAAGCAAAATAAAGTGAAGGAAACTTACTTACACTTTAGCAAGGCTCTTGCTTACTGAAATTGAGCTACGAAGCGGGCGCGCGAAAAACGTGGGGTTCGGGCAAAGTAAAAATACTGTATGCGAAAGAGAAAATGAAGTTCTGCCACTGTTTCCTTAACAAATGGAATCACACTTTTCACTCGCCTGCTCTTTCGCTCTTCACAACTGACTGGGAGCCCCAATAGGCTTTTTATGACTTAAAAACCAATCGAATCGCCGTTTCTCTGTTTCGTCCCGTCGTTTCGCCGTTTGGTTATGTCATCGTGTTTCTTCGTCTCGTTACGTCACTGTTTTCTTCGTTTCGTCTTTCTTAAACTTACGTGTGAATTTACGGTGAAGCTGATTGCCGCGTAAAAGTCGCCGCTAAGACGTTCATGCCTAACAGAGACCATAACGCCTTGATAGTTTCATAACTTTTTGATCATGACGTAGGTAAATTTACTTCAATCACTCGCGTACGTTAAGTTTTAAGGTTTCAATTCAATTGTTTTGGAAAATGTAAGTAAAGTGATCACCTTAAATTTAATCGAAAGAAAAACAATTGGCCAAAGTTGACTCGCGAAGGTTTGGAGTAATCTTAACCGTTTGGTACATTTTGCACCATGTGTAACTTAGTAAGGAATTGTCCATTGACTCATTCCCATTTGAGCGCAGTCAATAACGACGAAACGGAATTACGAAACGAAACAACGAAGTGGTGACATGACAAGACGAACGACAAAGCGAAGGAAAACAACGATATAACGAAACGACAAACCGAAACAACGGAAAAACGGAACGAAACAATGAAACGACGACTCGGCGAACATTTTGTCCACAATTTCACTTCTTAGCTTATTTATATATTTTATATATGACAATCTATCACAAACGTGATCACTGTATAAAAACCTCGAAGAATTTTCACTTTCTCAGTCAAATATGGTCATCAACCAAATGAGTTTTTAAACACCGAGAAACAACAAGGAAGAAAAAAACTTTTTACCTTAAAATCACTGAACTGGAAACCGGAAACATTCTCCATTGTTAATGTAATAAATTCCGTATATTCATGCGGCATGGCCGTGTTTGTCGGGAGGTAGTCGAATACATCCTCCTGTAAGGGAACAATGCCCGTGTGTAGTTCCCACTTCTCTGGATAAGGGAGGCTTGTATCTGTCAATAGATAAACAGCAACAAATTTTTCAAATCAAGCTAATAATGTGCTACACTTATATTTTACGCGACTTCCTGAGCGGATCTTGGTTACAGCATCTACAGAGATTTCACGCATGGTAGAGATCAGCTCTTAGCCGCGTGCAATAGTGAAACGTAAATGCTCAGAACCGATTCCAACATTTATTTCCCCAACCCTTT